AAAAAAAAACATCTACTGATTCAAAAAATTTATAACTATTAGTCTTATCAATTAATATTTTATTATTTTTATATTACAACAACTTTATACTTTAGTTGTTACATTTTTATATCATATATGTTGACAAACTCAAATTTATATATGCTAATTTTTAAAACAATATTTTTTCCACCCCCTACTATATGGGGGGTGTATAGCCTTCTTTGAATAAGACTTGGAAAAAATCTTACATCAATCACACCTGATTCATATATTGACCAAATCTATATATATATAATTGCTAGCATGTAGCATTTAATAAAACCTATTTAATAAAACCTCTAAAATTTTCCCTCCATTTTCGGTTACAAAATTTTTCATTAATATTTTTTATTTCTCACATTAATACATCTTAATGAGTGTAATCATGTATGTTTCTATTATATTATATAATAGTTATTGTTAATACCAATTAATAATAATTCACAATAAATATAAATTACATAATCATAAACAATTGTTTCAAGTTATGTATTTTAACATCAATATTATATTTTTCTTTTGTATCTCATAAAAAAATTTCTTTAAAAACAATTAGTAAATTGTTTTAATAGCATAGTTAAAGATATCTGGGTATGAATTTCTGTTATGGGGTTGACAACTTTAGAATTTTATAAACAATTTTTTTTTTATTAATAATATATATATATATATATATATATATATAATTTTTAGCTTAGCATTTAGTTTTACATATTTAATAAAACCTCTAAAATTTTTCCTCTATTTTCAGTTACAAAATTTATCATTAATATTTTTTTTACTTCTCACATTAATAGTTATTGCTAATACTAACTAATAATAATTCACAATAAATTAAATTACATAATTATAAACAATTGTTCAAATTATTTATATTAACATCAATATTATCTTTTTTTTGTATCTCATGGAATTTATTTTTTAAAAATAATTAGTAAATTGTTTTAATAGTATAATCAAACAACTTTAGAAGCTTATAAATAATTGTTTTTTAATAATAATAATAATAATAATAATAATAATAATAATCGAACTGTTATTAACTAATCATAATAAACAATTGTTCATAATAATAAAATCATTAATTTGTTTTTTCTAATGATCAAATTTTTGAAAATGTAATATGTTAATCATCTAGAATTTTAATATTAAGTTCTCAAATATTACTTGCTAATATTTTATGTATATCTGTGCATGTGCACAGGATATCTACTAGTCACAATTAAGCCTGGGTTGAATTTAAATTCATTTCAGTTAAAAAGATTCCTTCATGTAAAAATAAAATAATTAGTCAAGAATAATATATAATAAAAAATAATAATATATTATAGAGTTTTAGAAAAAAAAAAAGAAAAACAAAACAGCGCAACAGAAAGAGTAAAGTTGAAGAGAGAGAAACACAGAAAAGAACAAGCTAGCAGTTGCAGAGACGAAAAAGCAGCGAGAGTAATGAAAAGCATACAGCAAAAATTACATCGTAACCACACCAAATTTCTACCATCCTCACAACACATTTCTTTAATCGTTCCAATTTATTGTCAAGGGAAAAGCGAAGGAGCCCTTGTTCTTTTTTCTTCCTTTTTCTTACTGTTTTCTGCTTCATTTTACCTCTTTTGCTGGCGCTGAGGCTGCACATTTCGGTTTCTCTCTTCACAATCCACCTCCTCGCACGTGAACAAAAATTGCACCTTTTGTTAATCATTTTCTTGTTCCTGTTTGGTTATCGTTAGATTCAGTTCTAGGGCTTCTGTAGTTTGGGCATATCTTGGTTCACACTCAACCACCATGGACATAATCATGGGTCTTCGCAGTGTAGCATTGAGTTTTCAAATGGGTAGAATTGTGAAGTGAAGATTTTGTGTCTATTGTTGAGCTTGTTTGTTGTTTGAATTAGCTGAAATTGGCCAGGGATTTGAGGGATTGGGTTATTTTTTTAATTCGTGTGAGTGAGCTGTAGGTACCCTGGTGGTGGTATTTTGAAGTGGGAGACGTTTTCTGATCTGGGTTTTGAATCTTTGTTGGGTTTTAGTAGTTAAAGGTGTGATCTTGGAGTGAATCTTATTAATGTATGAAGTTTGAGTAATTTTTAGTTAATTGTGTGTGCGTGCAAATTAGGAATGAAAATGTGAAGTGTGCAGTGTGTCCATTTTTTGGTTCAGAAGAAGAATTGTGTGGAATTCATGGGATGTTCACTCTTCACTGCACCATATTCTTGATTCTTCATGTTGATCAGTTTTGAGATATAAAATTTTTGTAAGGATTTAATCGAGTCATTGTAAAGAAAATGCCCCCTTCACCTACAACAAGAATTTCACCCCGTAGGGATCTTAGGGCCGAGAATCACAAGAGACGGCATAGTATCGAGAGTGGTATTTCCCATCAAGACAAGGAAGATGATCTTGCTCTGTTCAATGAGGCTCAGGACAAAGAGAAAGAAAGTTTCTTGTTGGATTCAAACGACAATTTTGACGACATCTTCTGTAAATTCTCGCATCCCGTAGTACTGTGTTTCTAGTTATATCTTTTCATAATATAACTGAGCACGTGGCAAGTGCGTTGTGGTTTAAATATGTTGCCTTACTGACAAAAGTTTGCTTTTTGCATCATTTATGCTATCGACAGCGACAAAATTAAGATACTTCTCAGATCATAAGCTTGGAATCACTGTCCCTAGTCGAGGAGAGAGTAGTAGCCTGCTCAATGAAGAGAAGGATAAAAATGACTATGAGTGGTTGGTTTTTTCTCTTCCGTTTGAAAGATTTGTTACATATATATGTGTGTGTGTGTGTGTGTGTGTCTGTGTGTGTTGCTCCATTTTATGCTTAAGGTAGTTTAGGTCAACTGATCTTCACAGGAAAGAATGAAAAGGACGTTGATGATCAGAATCAATAAATTTTAATCTTTTCGTATAAACTGTTTTTTGACATTTTGTTTGTCCATTTAATCATGGCTTGCCATGCATGTTAAATCATCCCGCATTATTGAATTTTTTAACATGGCTAATATAATGTGTAAGATTATGCCATGTGGTTTGCATATTTAGTATTTTTTTCTGCTTCATTCATCACTTGATCATAGTTCGATTACTAGTTCATGCTTGTACATTCGTTTTTTTCTGTCATTAACACCCACATATATATGTGTATATATATATCCATCAATTAGGCTGATAACTCCCCCAGAAACTCCTCTTTTCCGTTCTTTGGATGACGAGGCACCACAAGTTAATCTTGCACGTACAGCGAGGCCCAGAAGTCAGTCTATTTCAATCTCGCCATCCCCCACGGTAATCATTAAAAGATATAATCGACTTAATTGCATAGAAATTATTGTATCTATTTATTCAGTTTGTTATCTCCGAAATTTTTGAGATTCTCACAATTCTGTTCAGGCTTAAACATTATGCAAGTAAATAGTTAATACTTCTGACGCTCACTTTACTTTCAGAAATGGTCATTGACGATTTTTCTAGTTTTCTTGACCAAAATCCACACATGGTGTACTTTTTAAAGACTGAGTTAGAACTGAGAAATGTGAAACTTTCAGTATATTTCCGTAATTACTCGATATTCAAAACTTCAGATGGAGAGAGGTCAAAGGAGTAGTCGAGCCAGTGCAAGCCCACATCGCCGTAGTCCATCCCCAAGGCCGGGCAAACCTTTATCCGTCACTCGCTCGAGCCCGCCTACTGCTACGGCCCACTTTTCTCCTTCGAGGGGTCGTTCGCCTTCACCCAGGTCCAGTACACCGACACCACGGAGGATAATATCCAGTTCCAGTACAACCACTACCCCATCAAGGGCGAGAGGTACCTCGCCCGTTAAAACGAGTCGGGGAAATTCAGCTTCGCCGAAAATAAAAGCATGGCAGTCGAGCATTCCGGGATTTTCCTCCGAGGTTCCCCCGAACCTCCGGACTTCGCTCGCCGATCGGCCAGCCTCGTATGTGAGGGGTTCATCACCAGCTTCTGGGAATGGAAGGAAGTCGAGGTCGCCAGGTGCTTCTAGAAGCATCGGTTCATCCAGAGGATCTGTTGTATCTTCTGGCGATGATGATCAGGACTCGCTGCATTCGGTCCCTGTGGTCAGCAAGGATGTTGGCTTTTCGAGGAAGCAGACGAGGGGTTTGTCGAGCTCGGCACCAAAAAGATCGTTAGATTTGGGGCGGCAAATGGTAAGTAAACTTTTCTCTATTGACTTTGTTAGTTCTTTTGTGTTACTTTTGTTTTGAAAGTGAACTGAATTACCCTTCAATATTGGTATCCTTCCAAAGTCTGTTGAATATACACACACACATATATATATATATGTATATATATATATACATATATTTCCTTTTGGTCTTTATTCTGTATGTTTAACCTGTTGTCTGACTTGCAATTTTAAATCTCATTTGTGTTATTTAAAAGTTTGCACACCTCTCTCTCTCTCTCTCTCTCTCTCTCTCTCTCTCTCTCTCAATTTGCAGGATCGAAAGAGTCCTACGAATATGTTTAGACCTCTGCTTTCAAGTATCCCTAGTTCAACATTCCATGCAGGACATGCAAGTTCACCACATTATTCTGCGGCATCGAAATATTCTTCAATTACAGATACCAATCTATCAACAACAAGTGGATCCCACGGCATTAAAAGAAGCGAGCCAAATTGTGAGGACATGACTGGCGGCAAGTGCAACCCTTTTAAGAACCCCGATTCATATGCTGACGAAGACATATTTGTCATGGATCGGGCCAACGATTTAAATGACGAGATTGATAACAAGATCTCGCGGGACCCACTCGTTAGCCGGCATGGTGGTGAAAGTGATTTCTCGGATGTTACTGTTGTGGACACAGCTGTTACATTGATGGATGTGAAAAGAGATTTTTCGTGCTCTATATGCGGCCTGATATTTATTGCATCTGAAGTAATAATAATCGAGGGGGACCCACCAATCTGTCACGACTGCAAAAGTTTGGAAGTGACTTCAACGACCGTAAATCTGGTTGAAATTTCGGACCCGCCGGCAGTGAAAAGTCACGTTGAGAAAGTTTCCAGCGAGAGTCAACATCCAAAAATCGAGTCAACCCAAAATCTTTCGACACAGCCGGCTGAAGACAATGAACTTGCTTTTTCCTCTCGACTAGCGATTAAGCAGCAATTGCAACACGACGGTTTTGGACTGAATTCAGAGACTAATGCTCCAAAAATGGCTGGTAATCCTTTTACTGTTCGGAGCAGGAGTTTTACGGCAAGCAACACCACCAGCTTTGACGATTTTTCTTGTGCGAGGGACAGTTCAAACAGCAAGAAAAGCACAATTAGTGCATCTTTATCGTCTTCTTTTGATCTCGGCGGGTTTTCCAGGCAAACCGAGGGCCGGCATTATCGGCAGTCGAGCGGCACGAAATCTGACGTGGAAAATTATAGATACGAAATGCCTACTGTGCACATACGCACAGACTCGTCTGTGTCTGGTGCATCGGTCCACATGCTGACTCATTTCCCGAGTGAAGACGGTTTTGAGGAATTCGAGGAAAAAACGCGTTCGGATGTTCAGGAACAAGAAACAGAAAGTACACGAGCTAATACTGAAAAAGATAATGTGGATAAAGAAAACTTAACGAGCGAATCTTGTGTTCCAGTGATTGTTGATGTTTTGCCTGCACAATCGCAGGGTTCCGTTAATGAAGAAGATGTAGACCCACTTAGCTCGTTTGATGGAGTATCTGAAATTGTAAATGCAAATATCGATGTTGTATCTGATGGTGACTCCACCTATCCAAAGAGAAGCGTGAATGAAATGCAGGATGATGATGAGGACGTTACGGAATCTATCGAAGGATTTGACGTCTTTGTATCTGATGGTGACTCCACCTATCCAAAGAGAAGCGTGAATGAAATACAGGATGATGATGAGAATGTTACGGAATCTATCGAAGGATTTGACATCTCGAGATCTAGGCATCATCATGTTCGCGGTATGTGCATATCAAATTCTGATGCTGTATGATTTTTTTTTTTTCTTTGGCCATTTGTTTAAGCTTGAGCATATCATCATCCCTTAGCGGATACCTGAAGAACTTGGAAAGTTAGCCTCACTGTTTATATGTGTTTGCTATGAATGGGAAGCATGCAATGGATAATTTGTAGGCATATTCGTTGATCTTTCTGAAGTTATTTGCTTTGACCTCCTGAGAATATCGGTACAATTACAAAACACCCAGAAAAGTTGTTAAGGCTATATTTGGTAACCAAATAAGTTAGCTTATAGCTTATTTGTTTTGCTTATAAGCTTCATGTATTCAAATAAGCTTTGTTTGGTTAGGACGAACTTTCTTAAAAAGCTCGAACTTATCTCATAAGCTTCTTTGGGTAGCTTTTCTAATAAGCTTGTCGAAATTTTTATTTCAACTACCTTATCAGCTAATTTTACTAAATACTTTTATCATATAAGGTAGTTTTTCAGCATTAAAGTCATAAATTATGAGCTATAAACTCGAAATTCACTTATAAGCTATAAGCTAGATGATAAGCTAGTTTTACCAAACTTTGTTGATTCCGATTCATTCTTCCATTTATCCATCTCAGGGTTTCTTTTTCTTCTTTTCTGGTTATTCTGTAAGCAGTGTAATTTAGGACTAGTTTTGTAAGTCGTAACTAATCCCCTCAATATTTTCTTTTATTAAAAACACTTCTTTTGATGCACATCCGATTTCTCATTTCATATTCAAACTTCCTTTCTTTAGATGAATCGAGGATTTCGTTAGAAGACACAGGTGAGACAAAACAGACGAACCTGATGACTCTTGAAGAAGCCACAGACACTATCCTTTTCTGCAGCTCCATTGTCCACGACCTAGCATATGAAGCTGCAAATATAGCAATAAATAAAGAAACCCCACCAATGGAAGTCCTTCGACCAACAATGCCATTTCCAGGCGGGCTCGAGTCCAGAAAAAGGGACAATATGCGTTTGAGGACTGTGAGAAAACGTAGCTCAAGAGCCCAGAAAACCCGACAAAAAAAGCCAGAAATGGATGCAAATGCAAAACCTCTTTCTTGCGATGCTGAGAAGGACGATAACTCGAACCAAGATAACTCGAACCAAGTTATTGTTGGAGATTGTAACAATGTTGACAGCTTAGAGCCTCCCAAGCTCGAGTCCAAGTGTAATTGCGTGATTATGTGAAATATTTGCCGGAAAAGAGTGACTTTGTGGTTGGATTAATTGGGTTGTTGTTTTTTGTAGGGTCCTGAATCTATTTTTTATAATAAAAAGATTGTGAAAAAAAATATGTTTGGAGAACAGCCATTTGTAAAGTTCTGATTTTCATAGTAGCCTGATGATATAGGGAGGCAGCTTGATATTCCATCTTGCTAGTTTTTGGTGTGTGTAATTTGTATAATACTCTGCTTTAGTAAAGTCTCAATTTTTAATTGTTTATATAAATGTTTCAAGCTGTAAGCTTATCTGTCAATCTGATTGCAGGATGTTTGCCAGTGATTATTATATACTGACCATTTCCCAGGTTGCAATTATCCTAAATGTCTGCGAACAAAAGCTTGTTTGAGTTTGAATAAAGCTCGGTTGCTTGTTAATCGAGTTGAACTCGAATGAAAACTTATGCTCACTCGGGTTTGAATAGAACTCATTTGCTGGTTAATTGAGTTGAACTCGAATGAAAACTTATGCTCGTTTGTTAGTCGAACGAACATGAATATACTTACGAATGCTCGATAATATTTGTGAATAATAATTTGATAATATTGTTAGTGTAATTTCTATTGTGGGGCTTGATTTTTAGATAATGTGTCATAATGAGGCCTCAATTTTTAACTTTTTCATTTGAGGGTTTGAATTTTAAGTTATTCTCCATAAAGGGTTTACTTTTACATTCTAATTCTTAATTTAAGACCCCAACTAACTTTGTGTTTTTACATAAATATATAAACTAAATACTATTGTTCTAAAAATTATATTTTAAATAATTATAAATATCTTTAGTTAAATTACTTTAGTTTATTTTTCTAAATAATTTATTTTTTAATTTTATCACATATTTAGATTAAAATTAAGTTATTTTTTTTTAACTTTTAAAATAAATTTCACTAAGCTTTTATAATTATCTTTTTTAGGTAATTTTACTAATATATTTAATATTTTTTTATTATATGTACTTAAAAATAAATTCTGAAAAAAGTATTTTGATTTACATGATTATGTTAAAATACAAAGTAATTTGGAGTCTTAAATTGAAAAGAAAGTAATTTGGAGTCTTAAATTGAAAAGTAGAATGTTAAAGTAGGCCTTATATTAAAAATAATTTAAAAAATGAAACCCTCAAATGAAAAGGTTAAAAATATAGGCCCTATTATGACACAATACCTAAAAATCAAGTCCTACAATGAAATTTCCCCGTAAAAGAAAGGTATAAAATATAAAAAAAAATATAGAATTTTTATTTTTAAATTTTTTGAGGCCGAACCAATTATTAATTTATTACCAACAAAACGAATTCGAGTTAATTTAAAGCTCACATGCTTTCCGGCCCGACTAGCCTCAACCGGCAAGTACTCGCCGCCGTCGACCGCTGCCGCCACCTCAGCCACCTCCACCAGCTTCAGGCCCGCCTCGTCAGGCTCGGCCATGGCGCCACCCATTTCTATACCTTCAAGCTCATCCGCCTCTGCGCCACCCGCCTCCGCCACATCCCCTACTCCCGCCGCCTGCTCGACGCCTTCCCCTCCCCCAACGCCCACCTCTACGCCGCCGTCATCTCCGCCTACGCCGACGTCTCCGACCACGCCTCCGCCGCACTCCTCTACCGCGACGTGGTGCGCGCGCGTGGGCCCGGGCCCGGGCCCAACCACTTCCTGCTCTCCATTGCCCTCCGCTCGTGGCCCGAGCTCCTCAGGAGCCACGGCGTGGAGCTGATCCATGCCCAGGTCGTCAAATCTGGCTACGGCGGGCACACGGCCGTGCAGACGGCTGTTCTGATCTCATACTCTAGGTCCGTCGACCAAATGGCCCTCGCCCGGAAGGTGTTCGACGAAATGCCTGAGAAGAACGTGGTTTCCTGGACGGCCCTGATTTCCGGCTACTCAAAAGCAGGCCAGGCCGGGAATGCTGTGTTACTCTTTGAAGAGACACCTGAGACTATCAGAGACACCCCATTATGGAACTGTATAATCTCAGGCTGCATACAAAACGGGCTGTTCTCCGAGGCCCTCGAGTTCTTCCAAAGGATGGTTTTTGAAGAAGGCTCGCGTGCCAAAAACCGTCCTAACCAGGGGTCGTTCGTGTGCGTTCTCTCGGCATTAGGTCATGGTGGAATGTTGGAGCTCGGGAGGTGTGTTCATGGGCTGGTTTACCGAGCTGTGCTCGACTCCGACCTTTTTGTTGCCAATGGACTGATCGACATGTACGGAAAGTGTGGGAGCCTCGATACATCGAGGACCATTTTCGGCCGGTTGGCCGAACCGAACCTCACATCGTGGAACTGTTTGATAAATTGCTATGCCTTGCACGGTGGGTCCCACGAAGCCATTTCGATTTTCAACGACATGATCGAATTTGGGAAGGGAGTGAAGCCCGACGGGGTGACTTTCGTCGGGCTCTTGAGCGCTTGTGTCCATGGAGGTTTGGTATCGGAGGGCCATCTGTATTTTAATATGATGATCGAGAAATACGAAATCGAGCCAGCGGTCGAGCATTACGGATGCTTGGTTGATCTGCTCGGCCGGGCGGGAAGATTTGAGGAGGCTATGGGGGTCGTGAAGGGGATGACTAAGGTCCCACCGGACGAGGTCGTATGGGGCTCGTTGCTAAACGGGTGCAAGATCCACGGGCGTGCAGACTTGGCTGAACTTGCGGTCAAGAAGCTGTTCGAGATGGACCCGAGCAACGGGGGTTATAGTGCGATTTTGGCGAATCTGTATGGGGAAATGGGGAAGTGGGACGAGGCACGTGAGGTGAGGAGGAAGCTGGCCGAGGGGAATGTGTCGAAAGCGGCCGGGTGTAGCTGGATTGAAGTCGATGGCCGAGTTCATAGTTTCTATTCATTGGATAGAAAGCATCAGAGGAAAGAGGAAATATATCAGGTTCTGGATTGTTTGCTTGATACTTACAGGACTTTGTTTTTTTCTTACTGGGTCGTGTAGAAAATTAGAACTTTGAGTGCGCTTGCAATTTTGCAGTGATTGAAAATGAGGAAGTCACCAAAGTTAGTAAATTCTTGTTATGATAGGTAGTGTTGTTATACGGTTTATAAGATTGTTTAGAAATTTGAAAAATAGAATTTCAATTAAATCACACTCAAACTGAAAGCCAGGTTGAAAGATGCATTTAGATCGGCTAAATGCTCTGAATGAGTCGTGTGTGTAGTTGACAAGTGTATGAATTTAAAAGCACCTTACAATGAGGCTTTGGGTTCCTATTTATGGATGTTGGCAAATTGCTTCAAGTCGTGTGTAATTAATGGGTGCATCGACATGAAGCAATACGTCAACATCTATCACGCCTTAAAAGTACTAGTTCAATAGATCCTTCCTTTCCGGCCTTCTCTCTTGCTGGGATTGCGGGGACCTCTTGGCGGTGGCTCCAGGCGGTGGAGTGGCTCCGGAGTGTGCTTGGAGGGGGTTGTGGTGGTGGTCCGACTTGGGTGGGTTTGCGGTCTGAAGGTGGTTTTCTCGATTCTGCAGCTTGGTTCCAGGGTGACCGTTGGGGGTTCTCTTGGTTCCGCTTTTGGTGTGTTGTAGTTCAGAGGGCCTTTCTCGATTGCTTGGTGTTTGTTCGATTTGTGGTGATGATGGGGTTGTGGGGGAGGGTGTTGTTAATTTTCAATTTATTTGTTGTGTTTTTGTTTATAGTTTTGATTTTGGGTGTAGTTGTTTGGGTAGTTTTGTGATTTTCTGTGTTGCAGGTTGGGTTTCGGATCTCCTGTTTTGGGAGTTTCTTTCTTCACTTGTGGGAGTGTCTTTCTCAACTTGTGGGAGTGTAGCTTTTGTTTCTTTTCGTGAGTGTGTTTGTAGTATTCAGGCTCCCTTTGGGATATCCTCTCATATGCTTCGGCTGTTGGTCGCTGGTTTCGGCTGTTAATGGTCGATGTTGTAATTATGTGTTTTTCTATAAAATTCTATCATTTGGAAAAAAAAACTTAGCATTGACTCGAAAATCAACGACGCGAACCTAAAGCAATCAAGGGGCGACACTTGGAACAACCGTGCAAATAAGAATGTTAGTCACCATATGTAATTAATTGGGTTCACTGACTTGAAGCAATTTGTCAACATCTATCACGCCTGAAAAACACTAATTCTGTTTACACATATCGAAAGTCAAGGAGGCCAGCCTCAATCAATCAATGTTATACATCTAAAACACATGTAGGAACAAGAATGTTGTCACCATATGTAATTAATTGGGTTCACCGACTTGTAGCAATTTGCCAACATCCACGCCCGAAAAACAGTAATTATGTTTACATCATATCGAAAGTCACGAGACCAACCTCAATCAATCAATGTTATACATCTAAAACACATGTAGGAACAAAAATATTGTCACCATATGTAATTAATTGGGTTCACCGAGTTGAAGCCATTTGCCAACATCCATCACGCTCGAAAAACATTAGTTCTGCTTACATCATGTGGAAAGTAAATGAGGCCAATATCAATCAATCAATGTAAAACATCTATAAAACACATGTAGGAACAAGAATGTTGCATCATGTGTAACTAATGATTAAAAGATGCATGCAATTAAGTAGATTTATAAAGGTATATAATCACCATATCACTTGTTTTTATCAACTAATTATGATCATTTTGACATGGTGGGTTTATTTGGAAATACACAAATAATAATAACTCAATATAAAAAAAAAATGAAATAAATAAAAAGACTGGTGTTTTGACCGGTTCTTTGGCTGTGGGTCACGCGCTTTAATTTCATCCAAGGTTGGTTCAGATTCAATCTCTGTTAGTCCCTTTATCATCCTCCTCCTCCTCCAAGTTCCAATCTTTGAAGGGCCCATTTGGGTAGATTCCCAATTGAAGATTGAGAAAACCCTAAAAGAAAAATTCTGCTTGGAGCCCAGAAAGATAAAGGTTGAGAAAAGAAACAGAAATTAACAAATAAAAACGTTTGATTCAGTAGGTTATGGCGATGGACAGAATAGGTAGATCGACAGTGGGGCTGGCGCAAGATTCTTCGCTGAATTCGACGGCGGCTGCGGCGGCGGCGGCAGGAGCTACAACCCCGTACTCGTCGTCCTCGGTTTGCACTAATTATCCGTTGATTTCTGCTTTCCTCGCCTTTGCAATCGCCCAGTCAGCTAAATTCATTGGCTCATGGTATATATGATTTTCATTCGTCCATTTGAGTGCTCTTTGTCTATCTATCAATCTATCTTTCAGATTGATTTTGTTTCGTTTTCTTGATTTGTGTCACGGTCTTGGAAACTTGTTAATGTTGCGACTGCAAATTTGTGAGTGATCTGGTTGTTTTCTGGTCGAATGCTGGTTGAAAGATTGAGATTATTATTTGTTTCAGCTGACAATGAAATATAATTAAAATTAAATGGGTCAGATTCCTTTTTTTTTTTTTTTTAAATCAGTCTTCGTTTCGAAATTGTGAGTGCTATCAAACTGAAAAACAATTTAGTGTTGTGCAATGTCGACTATCGAGGAGGTTTAATGTGAGAAATGTGCAATATTTATGTCAGGTACTGCTGGGTTTATGCATTTTTTTAATCTAATTATGTATTCTATCGATATAATTTCACTGGTAATTGTTAGTTTTTTGAAGTCTTAAAGACCATAGATAGTGCTGCAGGTATAAAGAAAATCGTTGGGATTTCAAACAACTCGTCGGGTCTGGCGGCATGCCCTCATCTCATTCGGCAACAGTAACTGCTCTTGCTATTGCTATTGGGTTGCAAGAGGGTTTTGGAGGATCTTTATTTGCGGTTGCCCTAATTTTTGCATTTGTGGTATTATGATCTGTCTTGCTTTCAGTAACAATCTTCTAAATCACTTCCTCAGTTTCTCGGCAATAGTATAATGGTAATATTATTAACGATCAACCCAAAATTTCTGTAAGAAGTTTCTTACATGTGATTCTTGCATTGGGTTCAGTGAGACAAGGAAAGAAATGTGTTTGTTTGTTACACATTAAATTCCTCTTCATAAGTTACTATTATGGATATGATTGGATACTTGCGGCCCAGTTATTGATTTGCTTTCCAAATGAAAAGGGCAGTGAGAAGGATTTTCTTAAGTAAATAAAACTCGCTTCATTTGCATATGGTTTTCTTTATTTTATATGGAAATTTGTCTGGGGTATTGTTATACTGTAAAAATCAGCCAACTGAAGTTGATTATTGATAACATTACCTATGTTTGTGAAATAGTGTCATTACCCCCAGTTCCCAACAAGTGTCTAATTAAATTGCATCTTTGGCCATGATCTCATGGAATTATCTTATGAAGGTTGAGATTTACACTCCAAACCCTTGTTCTAAAAGGGTGTTCCGTTTGTTCAGAGGAAAAAGTCTGATTGTATTGCTTTCTCGTGAAGTTACCAATGTCAACCATTCGTTTTACATTGTAATATGCTTTTGAATATTATTATTTTTACAAGAATGAAATGTATATTGTTAATCTGTTCTAGGTGATGTATGATGCGACTGGTGTGAGATTACATGCGGGCCGTCAAGCAGAGGTGTGCACTTTTTTTGCTTTTTAAGTGTCTCTTTTAAGTAAAAATATACAAGAGCACACACATATTACGAATGACTTACTCTTTCAAGAAATTTAGAAATCAAGAAAATATATCGTTATCATATAACAAAAATTGAAATGCCAGGTTTTAAATCAAATTGTATATGGGCTTCCAGCTGAACACCCACTTGCCGAGAGCAGGCCGCTACGCGAACTTCTCGGTCACACCCCTCCTCAGGTTCGATTTATGCCATTATTGATCAAATTTTAGGATCTCCATTCATAATCGAATAACTTAATTCAATAGTCTTTAGTTCTTATAATTGTAATAAGCTATGCCTGGTACTTGAAAACTCTCTCTCTCTCTCTCTCTCTCTCTCTCTTTTCTTTTTTCTCCGTAAACAGTTGTTTGGTTGAGCTAAAATTTTCTTGGTTTTTATTCTTTTTAGTTGATCGATCATTTCCTTGTACACAAGTCTGTTTAGAGTAAGAAGAATCTTTACTTACTCATTTTATCGTTTGTCTTCAAAATTCCGATCAGGTCTGTGCTGGTGCAATATTGGGTCTATTTACAGCATCAATTGCCCATTTGATCAGTGGCTCTGGCTCTCGAGCTTAGCGGATTCGAATTCTTTTACATCTATAGAAAAATTCCATACATCCTCTGAATTTTCGTTTATATGAAAATGTAAATAGCAAAGTTGGTTATAATGGGCAATCCCTAAGTGTTGAGGTTCTTGCCCAGCAGGAGCTGTAAAAACATCATGGATATGTAGTTTGGGAATTACTAGATTTGTTGAGACCATATATATCTTGAAACTAACACATATTTTCTCTCCAATAATGCTATAACTCTGTTCATTTATTCATTCATTTATTTATTTATATTGGAAGTTTTCTTCTATAATTTGCATGAATTTATGCCAATGCACATAGCTCCTAGCAAGTTTGCTACCAACATGTAAATTCCAATATATAAAAAGTATCAAAAGATTTTGTTTTCATTTTATTTTACATTTGTCCTAACATTTTGACACACCTAATTTCCATTAAGTACGACTATTGTTAGGCAGCCTTAATCGTAACAATATGACGAGTCATCAACCCGCCTAACTAACCAATAGTCAGTCTCATAGCACAATTTGTGGTTTCGAATATCGAGCGTGCACCAAAAGACTTGTTGACTTTTCAACTATCGTATAATAGTATGTTTCAATCGCACAATTTGTGGTTTTAATCGTGCAACGAGAGTCTCGTTCACTTTTCAACTACCATATAATCTGGGTGTTAGACTAACCTATATGTTGTCTCGCAGCACAATTTGCGATTTGAGTACCTGTCGTTTGTCGTTAGAATATGACTGGTCAATCCGTCTAACTAACATATAGACTGTCTCATAGCACAATTTGCGATTTCGTGCGTGCACCAAGACTAGTCTCGTCGGCTTTTAAAAAGATATCATATAATGCTCATGGATATTTTGTTGTGCACATCTATTTTTCTTACTTACTCACTTATGATCATGCATGGATGTATAGTAAATAAACACAAATTTCTGCATATATGTGAAAATTCCCAAGAAGATTATATAGCTTTCTTTTTCATGATCGATGACCGTTGGTATAAGTTGGGGGGCCAACTGAATTAAGTGTGTCATTCAACAAACACGAATTTTCACCAAATTTGTACCACAAAAACTACTGTTTCTTGCCCATAACTCACCATGTGAGGGTTCCTCAGAATAGTATAGTATATAATTCATCATTCTGTAGGCAAATTAAGTTGAACACAGAATCAAATTCTCTCTCTCTCT